ACTATGACACATATTCAGCTGAGTAACAAATTGATCAAATGACCAACAGATTCCTCACAAAGGGATATTGTCTACAAAATTTGGACATGGACAAGAATAAGGCTATATAAATTGTTCAGGGCAAAACTCAACCATGGACAAGACAGAACATAGAATTATGCAATTTTCATTGCAGATGGGAGGGGGGTGGTTGGGGAGGGGGGGTTTAAAAACAGTTTGCTTAAGGTGACATTCTCACATCTGCTTCCCAAGTCAAGACTTTCACTTGCTGTCCAATCACAGACTTCCCAATGCTGGTCAATGATAAGTCTATGCAAGGCCAGTGCTCTCTCGGCTATTGCTGTCTCTTGAGTTTACCTTCACTGAGCTAAGAAAACCAGGAATTACCAGGACCAGTTGTATCTTTGAAAAACCAGGGGGATGTCACCAGGTTAATTTATAAAAGTAAATTTCTATTGAAGTCTACACTTTTTGTAAAATGAAATAGAGGATGCACTCTGCACACAGCTTTTAGCAAGCTAAAGTGCTCTAGAGTCCAGAGTGTCCCTTTAACAAATGAGTTCACATTGAAACCCAATCTCTTCTTCTGGTCTGGCTAATAATGTTACCGGAGGTGAAGTTACACCTCTAGCAGCACTGGGCTATATCTCTCTATGTGCAGTGTTTCAAATTGATACAGACGGCAAACACCATGACCACTTCAAATCACAGAAGTAGTCATGGTGCTTGGATAACCCTTTAATTGGTCTTGATAGCTTTGGCAACATATCCATGCTGTGTTTCTGGCAGTGTGTAACTACTTATTTAAACATGTATGGCTGATTTGGTTGGATGACAAGTAGCTAATTAGGTGTATTTATAAACGTAGATAATGTGGGATTTAGGGAGTTTCAGTGTGTCCCTGGCTTATTATAAAACTTTATATTGTTCAAGTTTTTTTTTTTTGCCAAGGACAGAGAGAAATTTTAAATTTACTATAGAGGCAGAGTTTTCTCTCCCTAAGACAGTGAATATCTGTATATTATGCTACATAAAACTAATACATATATAGCTTAAGGCTGATTTAAAATGCCAGGTACCAAATGAACCCTTATAAAACTAAAGGGAAATGCAATGCGCTAAATCAAGATATTGTTGGTTACAAAAGTCAGTGATTTATATCTTGGTTTAATGCAGTCCCTTTCATTATATTTATACATTAAGACTTTTTTTTACTTTGTCCCACTATTTGCTTTCTTGTTTTTTTCTATTGGGTTGTAAGTTATACACTGACCAAGTTTGTCCTTGAAACAGAAAAAAATATTCACTGAATAGATGAGCTCAAAAATGATTTGGAGAATTTCAACAGTTTTTGCCTAAACTTTGCAATTTTCTATTCCTGCTAGTCCCATTTTAGTGTAAAACCCTGTTAGCAGCAGTGTATAGTTGTATACATTGCTATATATTTAGCTTTCCACAATGTGTATTTATTACAGTTAAGACAAGAGCATTTCGACAAGCCCCTAAAATTTAAAGACATTAAAAAGAAACTGCCCATCGACCCAAGTTATCCCTGTTGAATATCATACAATATATCACATTGCACTTTGCTTCTGTGCTGATGGGATTAAAAAGAGTCATATCTGTTAATTAGCTATTAACAAGTACTTCCTATGAATAAATTAACATGACAGATATAGAGGGAAGAGACAAGATTGAATGTGTTAAACATTCTGCCCTCCTCAAAACTCACATTGAAGCCCAATCTCTAAACACAGTGCTATTATCCATTATTTTACTATTTCACTATTTGTAGTTGTTTAACTAGGCAAGAATACATAAGGGGATTTGGTCATTGAGATCATTAAAGCCCAATTTTGTTATTAGCATACATCCTTTCCTCAGTATGAGTCTCATTATTTATTTGACTATTCCCATGTTACAAGAATAAGTCAGTTTTAAATTGGATGTCTCAAAGTTCACACGAGGAGGATGGTGACAGAACCATTATAGAAATCCAAGCTATTTTCTTTTTCATTCTCTTTTCTAATTTATTTGGGGTTTTATTCATTAAACAACAAATTGTTCTGAAATAAGAATATATATTTCAGTGCTTATTCCGATTGAGCCTACTTGGAAAAAAGTCTTTAATTTACCTATATTCCAGACGTGACTACATTTGCATAATTTGACTAATTAATCTTTAAATTCACCACAATTCCTTGTTTAAAATATAAGCCCCACTGTTTTTAAAATTTGTGGCACACTGTATGGCATTTTTTGTTTACATATTTTTATATCAAATCTATTTTTTAGTTGTATAAAATCATACAGTCTAGTTGTTTTTGCCAGACATATAGGATACTGTCAGGGTTGTGGAGCTGCAGAAAGTCTTAAATCATGAGCGCGACTCCACCAAGCCGCTCAGCCCCATCTTCATTGAACGCAGCATGTGTGGGTTATTATTTGTTAGGGTTCTGGTTAGTTTTGGTTAGAGTTAACTAGAATTAGGGTACTACAATGGAAAAAGAGGAAAAACGTGAACTATCCTTATAAACAGTATCACTGATAAGGTTAAAACATAACGTTTATTATATATGCAGATAAAAATACTAAGTAAACCTAAAACAGGAGGGGAATGGAAGGAAGAATAAAATAAAACGTAATTCGCTCAAAGAATATATATATATGTACATATATATATATATATATATATATAGAAGTGGTAGTAAATACCTAGTTACCAGAATCAACCACTGTCGAAATATATATATATCCCCTTGAAGAGCATCTTACGGCCAAAACGTGCGCCGTCCCGCCAGGGCTCAGCTAGACACCCAATCCTATTTTGGGATTCAAACCTCTCCTTTGAATTGTGACTGGATTTCCGGTTCATTTACTTACCTATTCAGCTGATTAGATATTTTTTCACATAGGTTAGTAGGAAGAGGTGTAGACAGATGTATGTAGGATGTATAGGCAACTGGACTACAGTGCTACTCTGTATTTAATAGTATGCCAAAGAATTAGGTGCCCTCAAAGGCACAGTTGTAGGACTAACCTAGGGATATTTTCTCGTAATTCTATTCAGACATTGTTTAGACTGAGAGTTGTTCTTTATACCTTAAGGTTTTCGTATTAGGTGCCCATGAAGGCACAGATTACTTTCGAACCTTACATACTTCAGCCCAGTTTTACCTATGCACCCTAACTGTATTCCCTCTCTCTAACATGTATATTGGTGTTCTGAGTGTATCTATTCTCTTGTTAAGAATCTTACTTATTTAGATTATTTTGGGTTATTACCACACATACACTGTTTGTATCATAAGTGAGCAGTATCCTGTGACCGTTTAGGTAATATTCCCCATTTTTCTCTTTTTTGGTCTGTACATGATATGTAGTGTCTGAATTATATTTTTGGAACTGGTTTTCTCTTCCTTATTTGTACATCCTCCATGAGGGTCATTATAATACATTGTTAACCTCTTTTTGCTACTTTATATCATGCATTTGACTTAATAGACACCAATATTATAATATATATATAAAAATCTCCAAGCATCATTATAAAGAACCTGAAGGGTCAAAACGTTGATGTAGAGGTGGTGATTTTTTGAATAACACGTTTGGAAATCCAAGAGAGTGCTCCTGTCTTCATTTCAATTATATATAATATATATTTATTTATTTCCACAGCAGTTAATTCTGGTAACTAGGTATTTACTACCACATATATATATATATATATATTTCTTTATTTTATTTTTTGTGCGAATTACGTTTTATTTTATTCTCCCTTCCCTTCCCCTCCTGTTTTAGGTTTACTTAGTATTTTTACCTGCATATATTATAAGTTTTATGTTTACCTTACTAGTGATACTCTGTATAAGGACAGTTCGCGTCTTTCCTCTTTTTCCATTGTATTTCTCCTTAAGGGTTACCACCTGGTGTCTGTACAAGATTTTTTTGCTGAACTCAAGCTTCAAACTTTTTTAGAATGGAGGTGGTGAGAAAGTTGTAATATTCTTGATCTTCCAGCACTGCTCCCTCATGTGCCATGGTGGATATGTCGTCACTCTGGCCCCAGCATCACTAAACAGTACGCTAGGGAGCACTGCTGGAAGAGCAAGAAGATTATTTCACACACTGGACCCCAGGGAAAAGATCCACTCCAGCTCTCCCAAAAATAGGGAGGCTGGGTTGACTTAAATAAAAATTATCTAAAAAAATAATAATTTGTGAGTGTCCGTGAGAGAATGTATGTGTGTTTGTCTGTCAGTATCTATCAAATCAGTGAGAGTGTCTATTAATGTGCATCAAATCAGTGAAAATGTGTGTCAGTGAGTGTGTCTGTCAGTGTGTGTCAAATCAATAAGAGTGTCTGCCAGTGAGTGTGTGTGTTAGTGTCCTCATTGTGTAAATTTGTGTGTGTTAGTGTCCTCTGTGTGTGTGTGTGTGTGTGTGTGTGTCTGTCAGTGAGCATATCCTCTGTGTGTGTATATTTGTGTCTTTTTCCTCTGTGTTTAAATTTGTGTGTGTCAGTTTCCTCTGTGTGTAACTGTGTATTTCGGTGTGATCTGTGTGTATACATGAGTCTGTCAGTGTCCTTTGTAAGTGTGTGTGTCTGTTATGGTCCTGACTGCTTCACATATGAGACCAGTAGTTTCATACAACCTTGCTTTATTGCTGAACATTTACTGTATAATCAGTCTTATTATAACTGACAGGAACACAGGAGTAAAACACCTTCTGTGCAGCACTGCATCACACTCACTGACTGAAGATGGCTGCCATGCGCTCTGACCTGTGAGTCATCACAGGGGTGGAGCTACTAGTTAAAGTGAGAGAGCAGTGAGAGGGCACTGTCCTACATTCCAGGTATAACATCTCCCTTCCAACAAAAAAAAAAAAAAAGAGAGAGAAAAAAAACATCTAAAACCCAATAACAAAACAACAACAAGAATAATCCATCAGGAACACAGTACATCCACAGGAAAAGTGTTACTGGAGCTAGAAGGCTAGTCTTCAGAAGGAAGTTGTGGGGGCAAACACCCTTCAGGAAATTTCCGGGTCCTATGGGAGGACCGACTGAAGTCCCGTATGCATTCCTGAAGTTGTAAGCGGTCAGGAGGGTGGCGGTGGCGCTGGGGACGGCCACCAACAGTTAGGGTGTCAGAGGTAGCAGGACAGGAAAAAGAGGAAGGTGCTTGGTTCAAGGTTGAAAAAATGGGGTCAGGGGCATGAGAACCCTCAGACCCAGAAGCACAGGTCACCCTTGTAGGTGCATTAAAATTTTGAGAGTCAACCCAAACTTCATCCCACATGTCCTCTGTCTCACTGGATTTGGACTTAGGAAGCTTTTGGGTAAAGGATTCAGGTAACCGGCAACAGGACCATAACTGGTCGACATGTCGTCTGGTAATGAAACCATCTTCCAGGAGAACTCTGTACATCTTGGGTCCCAAAGTTTCCACAATTGTGGCAGGAAGCCACCGAGTGTTGGAGGATCCATAAGATTTAGTCCAGACCTCTTGATGGACTCTAAAAGTGGGAGACTCTTTGGAGGTTACCATCTTTTCTTGGGAGTGCAATACATGGTCATGAACAGTTTTAGGACAAAGCATGTCAAAAGCAGTCCATGGCCGTCAGCTTAGAAGAAGCTCAGCTGGTGTTGTACAAATTGTAGCATGTGGTGTTGTTTTGTAAGCAAAGAGAAAAGAGTCTAACTTCTGGACCTCAGGCTAGTTGAAGCTACTGTGCCCTTGAAGTAGTTCTTGAAAGTTTGCACAAACAGTTCTGCTTGACCATTGGTTGCTGGGTGGTAAGGCGCAGTTAACGTTTGCTTGATGTTATTAACAGTAGCAAAACTCTGAAATTCATGGCTCGTGAATTGAGCCCCATTATTTGTGACAATCTCCCTGGGATAACTAAATATGGCAAAAAGGTGCAATAATATGGTAATCGTGGCTTTTGCAGTCAGCTGGGTTATTGGAAAGACCTCAATTATAATCAAGAAGGTTTGCCCTTTTATTGGACCTGCAAAATCCAAGTGTAGGCCAAACCAAGGAAGCGTGGGCCAAATCCAGGGCTGGATACTTCCTCGGGGAGGGTCTCTTGCAGTTTGTACATCCTGTACAAGCACTGACATATGCTGTTATCGCAGCATCTATGTTAGGCCACCACACGTAGCCTCGTGCTTTCTGTTTCTTCCGTGTGGTACCAGGGCGACCAGTATGTAGCAAGTCCAAGATATGTCTCTGGAGGGTTTTTGGAATGATCACTCATTCTTCCCATAAGACACAATTGTCATTCACAGCCAATTCCATTTGCATCCAGTAATAAGGTTTGTAATCTTCTGTATTAGTTGCTGGCCAGCCAGTTTGTGTAAACGAAAGCACTAATTTTAGAACATTATCCTTCACTGTATCGGCTGCTATTTCTCCAGAAGTCAGTAGGTGTGTGGTGGTGTACCTACAAGTCTTGACAGCTGGAGAAGAATTTGGAAGCAATTCTGTCAGCCGGGACATTGCATCGGCATTGGCATTAGCATCATGGCTTCAATATTGTATGCAGTAGCTATATGCGCCCAAGAACAGGGCATAGCGTTGAAGACAGGCTGCAGTGGTCTGGGAGATCCCTTTGTCTGGGCTAAATATGATCTGTTAATATGGTGAACTCTCTACCATAGAGGTAAAGGTGAAACTTACGAATTGCCCATATCAATGCAAGTGCCTCTTTATCAATCTGGGAGTAGTTTTCTGTCTTTGTCAATGATCTCGAGGCAAAAGCCACAGGTTTCTCAGAACCATCTGGTGGGTGGGAAAGTACAGCACCCAGACCATAAAGCGAGGCGTCGCAAGCCAATGTGAGAGGCTTGTGGGGGTTATAGTGTACAAGCATATGTGAGCCCAATAGTTTATGTTTGGAGACCTTAAAAGCTTGTTGGCATTTGGCTGATCACTCCCATCTGGAGTGTTTCTCTAAAAGCTTATGCAGCGTTAACAAGGTGTGAGCCAGGTCTGGGAGAAATTTATTATAGTAGTTGAGGAGGCCAAAGTACGATCGTAGTTGGTGGACATTTGTTGGGGCTGGCGCTTTGACTAGAGCATCGACCTTGGCTTCAGTGGTGTGTATGCCCTCTGCATCTACCAGGTGGCCACAAAACTCCAATTTGGGTAGCATTTTGTCAAATTCACCTTGAGACAATGGTCCTGAAATCTTTGTAAAATCTGTTCTACGTTCGTTTTGTGTTCTTGGTCCGTTCGGCCAGTGATGAGCATGTCATCTAATAGACACTGTGTGACGGGAATGTCTGCTAAGATTGCATCCATCTTCCTCTGCCAGATGGCTGGTGCGGTGCTATGCCAAACACCATCCGGTTGTATTCATACAAGCCCTTGTGAGTGTTAATGGTAAGGTATTTTCGGGAAGAAGGGTGGATCTCAAACTGTATGTAGGCTTGTCCGAGATCAATCTCAGTGAACTTCTGTCCCCCAGAAAGTGAGGCGAAGATGTTATCTACTCTGGTTAGAGGATACTGGTCTACATCCAGTTGGTTGAGTATTCAGTACCATGCGAAAATCCCCACGGATGCGTAATTCAAGGTTGTTGCAAGGGTTCTTGATGATGTCTGGCATTCCCAGATGAGCAATCCAGTCTCTACCAAAGAGAGGTGGTCCTCCGTGTTTCTTTTTGTCTGACCTTTGTATGATACCGGTACCTTTGCACAACCAACTGGGTGGAAGACTTACATGGAATATGTCTGCAGCTTGATTGGGGTTGGGCGGATAGTTGCCTGTATATGTAGTTGTCTCCAGTGTCTCTGTGTGATAACTGAAACTGACGCTCCTGTATCAACATCCATTTTTAATTCCTTTCCTTCAATGGTTACTTCTACCGTCATTGCAAGGTTTGAAGAGTGTAGGCGATGTATAGTTAATCTGTGCAATGGTTCATCGTTGTCTGACTCAGATAAAGAGGTAGGTTTCTCTACCCTGTATGTTTTCTTCTTGGTCTACTGCGGTTGTTTTTCCCGTACATTCCTACTACGACAGACCCGTCTAAGGTGGCCCATTGTTCCGCAGTGATGACAAGGTTGGTCTTTAAATCAAATTTTTTTGGAGTCATGGTCTGTATTACCACACTGGTAGTAAGCTGGCTTGGGCTGGGGTGATAATCTGTATTTGCAGTTGGCCGTAGCTGGAGTGACTGCTGCTCTGAAGACCTCCTCTTTTACCCCTTCTTTGTAAAACTGAGCGTTCAATTTCGCAGTATTCTTCACAGCTATTTCCATGACTGATGCAATCTCAATTGACTGTGTAAGGGGGTATGGTACTTGCACTGAAGTAATGCTCTAATCTTTCAGTCCAGGAGCTCCAGGAGCTCTGCTCCCCATCAAACTCACACAATGTGCCTATCAGTGCCATGTCCTGGTTGGCTGGCTGTGTGTAGTGAGATTACCTCTTATTTTCTAGTACAGGCTTGATAGGGCCTTTGTACATCCCATTCTCGTGGCCACTGTTATGGTCCTGACCAGTGGTGTATCCTGGTTTTGTGCTGCCCTTGGCAGGACAAAACTTAGACGCCCCCCCCCCCGCACCACCCCTACCCAACCCTTCCCCCCTGCCCTGCCTTCTAAATGCACACACACACATTCACTGACAGATACGCATACACTACCTAACAGACATACACACTCACTAACAGGCAAACACACACTCACTAACAGACACACACACTAACAGACACACACACACTAACAGACAAACACACTCACACTCACTAACAGACAAACACACTCACTCACTAACAGACACACACACTCACACACACTAACAGACAAACACACTCACACTCACTAACAGACACACTCACACTCACTAACAGACACACTCACTCACTAACAGACACACACACTCACTAACAGACAAACACACTCACTAACAGACACACACACACACACTCACTAACAGACACACACACACACTAACAGACAAACACACACACACACACTATCAGACACACACACACTCACTCACATTAACACACTCACTTTTTTTTTTATTTAACCCCCCAGCCTCCTTACCTTTGGGAATGCTGGGGGAAGGAGGGGTGTTCTCCCTCTCCCTGGGGTCTAGTGGGGCTGCTGGGCGGTCGGGCGGGCGGCGCTGGCGAGGGAGCACTTTGACATCATATTCCGGCTCCCGGCATCACTCTGCGGTGCGCGAGGGAGCTGAGCAGAGCGCTCAAGAGAAAGTTCTCCCTCACCAGCGCCGCCCGCCTGGCTTGTCAGTTAGCCACAAGGCTTACAAGACATTTGCCCTGGGCATTTGGGGTTGGCTTTTTTTGACGCCCTCTAGAAAATGCCGGCCAAGGCAAATGCCTTGTTTGCCTCGCGGCTAATATGTCCCTGGTCCTGACTGCTTCACATATGAGACCAGTAGTTTCATACAACCTTGCTTTATTGATGAACATTTACTGTATAATCAGTCTTATTATAACTGACAGGAAAACAGGAGTAAAACATCCTCTGTGCAGTACTGCATCACACTCACTGACTCAAGATGGCTGCCATGCTATCTGACCTGTCAGTCATCACAGTGGTGGAGCCATTAGTTAAAGGGAGAGGGCAGTGTCCTACATTCCAGATATAACAGTCTTTTGTGTGTAACTGCGTATGTGTATCAGTGTCCTCTGTCTGTAAGTGTGTGTGCAAGTGTCCTCTGTGTGTAACTATTATATGTATATTATATTTTCATTTTGTGACTTTTATACTTCAGATTAATAGTTCATACATTCCTCCTTACATACACACTATTCACATTATGTCATATTTAATTTAAAAATATTTTTAATTACCTTTACTTTTTGACCTGTAGTTTTTTTTTAAATAAAATAGTGACATTGGCTTATATGGTGTATTATAAGTCTTATTTGTTGACCCTTTTTCACCAATGTCTATAAAGATTGTGGTAATATAAATTTTTTATTTTTTTAAATTACATGTTGAAAAATTCTATGATAAAAACAGCATTATAGCAATACCCCCATATTACTATATATGGTAGTTTAAGGCCCAAGACCTAAATTTAATATTGCTACATAAGGCTTCCAAATAAATTCATATTTTGGCTAAACTTTTAAAATAATGTTTCAAAGTTTAAAATACCAAAAATATATGATATTTGAAAAAATATAACAATTGATAAAATAAATATCAATATACTGCTAAATAAAAGTTTACACAAAAATATTAAATAACTTGGAAAGTGTATCCATTAATATTGAAACATGTATGTACGTAGTGGGGAATCGCGATGCAGCCTAGAACATAAACTAACCCCATTCAACCCCCAATAACGACAGACCACTTAGTATGGATGAAACAGGCCACAGCATTTATTATCACAAACTAAATTAATGCATAACACATCCATAACTTTATTTATTAAATCTCTTCTTTTTCTGTAACCAAAAACGTTAGACATAAATAAGCATTAATTAACATATATACATATATAACTCCACACATAGTGTTATACAGTGACCCAACCGTCTTTGCCAATAAACATAC